GTTCCACATTCTCCAACCATTACTCCTGTGACCCTTCAACCTGAGTTCGAGCCCCACATATGCACACCACTTGCCAAGACCAGCTGGGTCGTGGAGACCTTAACCCAGCAGCACTAGAGGAATTAAAGACACACACAGAGAAATATAGAGTGTGGAGTGGCAAATCAGGGTGCTGACAGCCTTCAGAGCTGAGAGCCAGGAACGGAGATTTACCCACATATTTATTGACAGCAAGCCAGTGATAAGGATTGTTTCTGTAGATTATAGATTAACTAAAAGTATTCCTTTCGGGAAACAAAGGGATGGGCCAAAAGGATGGGCTCTGGCTAGTTATCTGCAGCAGGAGCATGTCCTTAAGGCACAGATCGCTTATGCTATTGTTTGTGGTTTAGGAACACCTTTAAGTGGTTTTCTACCCTGGATGGGCCAGGTGTTCCTTGCCCTCATTCTGGTAAACCAGCAACCTTCAGCGTGGACATCACAGCCATCACGAACTTGTCACAGTGCTGCAGAGATTTTGTTTATGGCCAGTTTTGGGGCCAGTTTATGGCCAGATTTGGGGGCCTGTTCCCAACACCTAAGTCTATCACAGCGTGATGGCTGAATTGGCAGCCAGTACTGCCAGGCATCCTGCATCATCACTGCAGGAGATAAGTTCCACCCTAGTACCCTGTCTGGGAAATAGTGCACCCACAGTCCCCTGTCTTACTAAGTTTATGGGGTAACAACAGGGAGTGGTTTTTAGGAAATAAATCTGACCTGGTGTTTTGGTTTTGTGAGTGGGAGGTATTCTCAGCTGTCTCCCCACAGGGAGAGAGCCTATTATCCCCTATGCATTCTAGACTTCTGAAGCAGAGTCTCCAGTCTAAATCCCTATCCCTTGTAAAGAGAGATTGTATTGAAAATGTGTTTAAAATATCAAGGAAGGCTTTATTCAGCACAATTGTAATATGTGTCATGAGAACTACAATATGTAGTGAGATTACAGTTCTGTATATTATATTACATTTCTCATGACACGTAATAGGCTGTCTCCACGTTTAATCTCCTTCCTATATTACAGGGCAAGGTGAGGAAAAGGATGGAACTTGGTGAGGTGTCAACAGTTAGGGAAGAGAAAGTTGATGAATTATCATGAGTGGGGGAAATTGAACTTGATTGGAAATACCAAGTTTTGGTGGGGGGGGGATTCTCTGTGAACTGCCTTAAAAGGGTTTTTGCTATAACTGGGCTCTGCAGAAGGCGGCCAAAGCCTAGACAAGAAGAGGGCTGTGAGCTCAAGTTTGGTCAAAGAAGGAGTCCTGGTTAGGTGCAGTGGCTCATAGCTGTAATCCCAGCACTTTGGGAGGCCGAGGTGAGTGAATCACAAGGTCAGGAGTTCGAGACCAGCTTGGCCAATGTGGTGAAACCCCATCTCTACTAAAAACAAAAAAATTAGCCAGGTGTAGTGGTGGGCGCCTGTAATCGCAGCTACTTGGGAAGCTCAGGCAGGAGAATCAGTTGAACCCGGGAGGCAGAGGTTGCAGTGAGCCGAGATTGCGCCACTGCTCTCTAGCCTGGGCGGCAGAGTGAGACTACTGTGTCTCAAAAACAAAACAAAACAAAAAAACAGGAGTCCTTAAGACCTCTGTAGCTTAGCGCTGTTTTTTGTTTGTTTGTTTTTTGTTTCTGTTTTGCTTCTTTTGAGACGGAGTCTCGCTCTGTCACCCAGGCTGGAGTAGTGATCTCGGCTCACAGCAACCTCCGCCTCCCCAGTTCAGGCGATTCTCCTTCCTCAGCCTCCCCAGTAGCTGGTATTACAGGTGCCCGTCACTACACCCAGCTCATTTTTTGCCTTTCTAGTAGAGACAGGGTTTCACCATGTTGGGCTGGTCTTGAACTCCTGACCTCAGGTGATCCACCCACCTCTGCCTCCCAAAGTGCTGGGATTACAGGCGTGAGCCACCATGCTCAGCCAGCTCTTCTTAGGAATGACAATAAATCCCTAAATTTCTGGTTTTCTCGCTACATTCCGAAACACTCAATCCTCTCTCGAAACGACGTCTTCAGTTATGTGTTTCTCATGATACATTTGAAACAGCTGCAGTATTTAAATTGTTTATTTTTTACTTTAATAAATGGCTATATTTAAAATGCTATTATTTTATGAATACTTTTCATGAGAGAAAGTGCTCAATAGCCACTGGAAACTACACTGTGTAAAGTAATTATGCCTGTTGACTCCTGAGGTTGAGCACCACTTCATATACTTATTGGTCATTTCTATGTATTGGAGAAATGTAATTCAAATACTTTTGCCTTTTTAAAAAAATTTTTTTGAGACAGAGTCTTGCTCTGTTGCCCTGGCTGGAGTGCAGTGGCATAATCTCGGATTACTGCAGCCTCTGCTGCCCAGGTTTGAGCAATTCTCCTGCCTCAGCCTCTTGAGTAGCTGGGATTACAGGAATGTGCCATCATGCCCAGCTAATTTTTGTATTTTTAGTAGAGACGGGGTTTCACCATTTTGGCCAGGCTGGTCTTGAACCCCTGACCTCAAGTGATCCACCCACCTTGGACTCCCAAAGTGCTAAGATTACAGATGTGAGCCACCATACCTGGCCTATGCCCATCTTTTAATCAATATCAATTAGTTTTTTTACTTGGTATTGGGATTTATTATTTTTAATTATTGTAAAATAATAAACTTCAATTTTACCAGCTTAAGCAGTTTTATATAGTTGTACAACACTACATAACTAATCTAAGGTGAATTATACTGTAATTTTCTTTTTGTGATTAACTTTTTGCAATTACCATAGAATCCTCAATTTTTTGTGATTGTTGTAGCATGAGACAGGATGTTATAAGATTAACATTTCAATGTATACATAGGCCTAGCATATTTTCATTATGCATGCAGCCATCAATGGACATGTGGATTGATCCAGCTCTTCGATTTTGTGAAGAGTGGTTTTCAAATATGTCTTCAAGGCTCAGTTTTCAATTTTTTCAAATTTAATATAACTAGACCCAAAAGTGGGATGCTGGAAAATACAGTAATTTTATTTTATTCTTTTAGGCACTACTGTACTGTTTCCATAGAAGCTGAGCCATTTATTATCCTTTAAACAAAGCACAAGGAGTCCCTTTTCCCTCTGTTGATGGTGTCATCTCATGCACAAAAGTGGTTTTTTTGAGATGGAGTCTTGCTGTTGCAGTGGCACGATCTCAGCTCACTGCAACCTCCAACTCCTGGGTTCAAGTGATTCTCCTGCCCAGCCTCTCAAGTAGTGGAATTACAGGTGCACACCACCACACCCAGCTAGTTTTTGTATTTTTAGTAGAGATGGTGTTTCACCATGTTGGCCAGGCTGGTCACCAACTCCTGACTGTCCACAAACCCCATGATCATCAGGTGATCTCCGCTGCCCAGCTTCCCAAAGTGTGGGATTACACCGGCGCCGTGAACGCCCACCCACCGCCTGGCAGCAAAAGTTTAAGTTGATAATACTTGCCATTTGTTGAAGAACTATGATCCTGGGCATTTTTTTTTTCTTTTTTTGATGCACGGAGTCTGCCTCTGTCACCAGGCTGAGTGCAGTGGCCACATCTCAGCCACTGCAAGGCTCCTCTTCCGGGTAATTAACGCCATTCTCAGACTGCCTCACCTCCCAAGGGTACATGGACACAGCTGCCCCGCCAACCTCGCCAGAACTAATTATTATTTTGTTATTCGTTTAGTAAAACGGGTGTCAACATGTAGCCAGGAATGCTCGATCCTGAACCCAGCTCAGTGATCAAAAACAAAAAAAAAAAAAAAAAAAAAAAAAAAAATCCGTGAATCCACCCGTCTCGGCTCTTCAAAGTGCTGGAATTACCAAGCTTGACACGTGCCCGGCCATTTTTTTTTTAATATAAGATGAGTCTTGCTCTGTCACCCCAGGCGAGTGCGTGTTGTATCTTGGCTCACTGCAGTGTCCTGCCTCTTGGGTTCCAGCGGATTCTCTCTGGCCTCAGCCTCCTCGGGGTATGTGGAATTACCAGCATGCGCCACCCCACTGGCTAATTTTT